CCCCCTCCCTTTCCACACCCTAAATGGCACATGGGCAAAAAAACAAAACAAAAACAAATAAGAAATAACAATAATAATGTCTTCTGTTTTTCAAAGGTTCTAAAGAGGCCAGAATATTTTGGGAAGTTTGGGAAGATTCACAAAGTGGTGATCAACAACAGCACATCATACGCTGGTTCACAGGTAAGACCCTCCACAGCAACGACAGAGGTATAAGAGGACCTCTGTCAGGCATGAAACTAGTGTTTAATGTCAGCTTTGTCTCGGTTGTCTTTCTTTGTCCCAGGGGCCAAGTGCCAGTGCCTATGTCACATACCTCCGGTCGGAAGATGCTCTCAGAGCAATCCAGTGTGTCAACAATGTAGTGGTGGATGGCAGAACTCTGAAGGTAATCCTGAAGGATAAAAGTGGTGCATTTAGATAAAAGAGCGAGCAGCTGAATATTGAGTTACAGTAGAATATATTTTGTGTTTCTCAGGCATCCTTAGGAACAACAAAATACTGCAGTTACTTTTTAAAGAGCATGCAGTGCCCCAAACCAGACTGCATGTATCTACATGAGCTGGGGGACGAAGCTGCCAGTTTTACTAAAGAGGAGATGCAGGTAAGTTGAGCCAGGGTAGTGGTAGTTCACTGCTACTTTTTTTACATTTTTTTAAAATTGCAATATATCACCTTTCTTACAGTATTGCTATATATCGAATCATTACCCCTGTATCGTGATATGTATCAGCCGCCCTAGTGGCTAATGCAGTATGCTTTTCCATTGTGTCAAATTGGGCTGCAGTTAATTCTCTGTCTCTGTGGCAGCATAATACTTTTAGTTACATTAATACATAAATATGTACTGTTTATTGAAAACCGGTGGACATGCGACCAAGAAATCCAGAGCATTTCAAATAGTGTAAAACTACACCAACCAATGGCTTTTCTAGGTAGCCTAACTTATTCCGACATTAATATATGACATCTACCTGAGGCATGTAGTGAGTATACCAGTATGCCAGTTTTTAAGTTTTGCTGCTTAATGATATTTGCTGTGATATTGCGTCCATGGAAGTGTTTAAAATGACTGAAAGCATCCTCTCTCATTATTATAGTAAATTAGGCAAACACTCATAGGCTGCATCAATACAACACAGAATAAATAAAGAAATCAGCTGAAAGCTTGCGCTGCTCAACAGAAAGACACATGAATAATTTCTACTGGCAGAATGCGTTTATTCTGTTTATTATATTTTGTGCATCTGTATTTATAGTAAGTGTGATTGTAAATTCATTATTGATTTAATAATTGATATTGGCTCAATATTTCAGGGAAGATGATGAACTTATATCAAACCCGACTCAGGAATTATCAGCCTCATGTGACTGAATGGCAATGTCAATAAATGACACAGACTCTCGACTACAGCTGTAATATGATCATATTGAGTCTGATCAACTGCAGCGTCCAATCAATAACTGATATCCAATAAAGGGGAGCGTCCGTTGGTAAAAGACTTCCACGAAGGCTCCTCTCATGTATCCTTGCATCCGGCTCCTCAGAGATCGCTCCTGGATCCGCAATTCTCGCTCCTCGCAGCAGAAAGAAGTGCTTGGGATGGCCTGCAAGATGGTGGACCAGAACAGTTGTTCTGGTTCAAGCAAGGATCAAGGAAATGTGAAAAAAGAGACTTAGGATGTACCCATAGTATGTTAAATACAATATGCCAAAAGTGGCAGGATGTTCTACATTCCTGTGTTTGGGTCACATTTTGCAGTACGCGAGCCAACACGCTTTTCTGGCTGTTCTCAAACACAATCCTGTGTCATAGGTCACATTGACTGGGCCACAGAGAGAGCACAGATCACCGTGCATTTGTTCATCAGTTGTTACATGAGCAAAATAGTACTAAAGATACACAATCACAAAAAAAAAATTGTGGTTGATCAATGTGTGTTTTACAATGGCCGATTCCGATATTGATATATGCCGATGTTCGATATAAAACACAGATGTCAAAACAAACAAAGTCCTGTATAATTCCATTACTCCACGCACATTACAAATGGAATTTTTTACTAGCCAGTAATGGTTTGAGATTAGGTTTGCTCTGAACAGTGGTAACATTTAGAAAAGACGATGGTGACTGAAGTGAGTTTTTCACCACCTTCCCAAAACTCACAAAGGTGAGCGCTAACATGGTTCCATGGCAGCCACACTGGCTGCCAGATGCCAGATAATCGGCCCAATTAATCAGTCTATCTATAATGAAAAAATACAGTAACAGTATGTCATTTGACTGTTAGGCACATAATACTGCATGTTGCATATATACAAAGTAGCAACAGCAGAATGGCAGTGGTGATATCGGTGAATGGAGCTTTGTTGTATCTTCAAGGTAACCTTAAGTAACATAGCACCCATTCCAAAGTGCATAAATATTTTTTTTTTTGTATGAAAAATTTCACGCCACTGACTGCAACGGATGTATGAGCAAGAGGGTGACAGTTCAAAGGAGAAGAAATACAAACTAAAAGTAAAAAGAAAAAGCACGTCATTTGGAACACAGACACCATGTGGTGAGGAGGGAGGGGACTGCTAACTGCAAGACCGGACACAAAGTTAGCCAAAATGCAGATGTCACTTACAAGCACGCACAAGTTCTCTGTTGGTATTTTGTGTTTTTATCTGATTTATATGAAAACATAGCTTTCTCTAATCTGTTCTTTTGCTTCCAGGCAGGAAAGCATCAGGAGTATGAGCAGAAGCTGCTACAAGACCTCTACAAAATGAACCCGACCTTCCTGCAGACCTCAGCTGTGTCAGGGGACAAGCCAAAGGGCAAAACTAATTCTCTACAGAGGTATTCTCACACCAGAGTGTTAGTCTGTCTGTCTGTCTGTCTGTCTGTGTCTCTTCTTCTTCATTTCCTGCTTGTAATACATAGCACATTATCTCATGAGAACGGCCAAAAGAACTGTTATTTTTGTATCATTGATTTTTAAAAGATCTGATTTAATACTTAATACTAACTAATTCATTAATTAATTTATAATAATACTTTATTATCCAAAAATAAATAGAGACAAACTCCCTGGTTGTTTTAGAAGTAAAACTAATGAGCTGCAATTCAGTGAGGATATGTATGCCATTTCTGTGTGTGATTCCTCTTTGCTCCTCTGTCTGTGTGTGTCTGTGTGTGTGTGTGTCACAGGTCTAACAGTTCCAGTAAAGATGGCTGGCTGTCATTACAGCCGTCAGGGAGGACGACCAATGGTCTGTCACCAGACCACGGGAAGAGTCCGCCATTAGATGGCTCTGACTCTGAACACTTGACCCCTGAGGGGCCCGAACCTGACCTCAGCCTTGGCCCAGTACCGGCCCTCTCCCCTTTCTCCTCAAACTGTGATCTTACTAGGTAAAAAGAATGATTTTCAAATGTACAACTCTGCATAACATAGATTATTTCCCTGTTTGCTATATATATATATACATATATATACATATGTATGTGTGTGTATATATATGTATATGTGTATGTATAAGATATCTCCTCTGTCTTCTGGTGAGTAAACATAAATAAATATTTTTGCTTCTATTTTACAGCCCCAGCAACAAACTGCCAGACATTATCGGTTTAAGCAATGGTGAAGCCTCACAACTGGTAAGAAATGTGTGTGAAATTGTCCTAAGACACTGTTGTACATTCTGACCTTGATTTATCTTATGCCCTCTTTTGACCTGGTATTAACGCAGCAGGGCACGTGAGACACTCTGTGGTGCGAGCAGGACCCACATTAAAAACATCAGATTTACACAGTCTGAGAAATTAAAATTGTGTCCTGCTTAGGTCAGTTATAGTTTATAGTACTATTTGAATTATATCTTGTATTTTGTATTCAGTTTTTATCTTTCATTTCTTTCGTTCATTTATGTGTGTTGTAGAATATCCATGATACTGCCAGACTAAATAAAGGATAAAAGTAATAAGAGGCTCTTTTCTCTTCCTCTCTTTTGTCTGTAGCTCCCAGGCAGTGACTCTCCATCGCCCCCTCCTGGCCTCAGTAAGCCCAGCCTGGTAGTTCCCATCACTGTCACAAGCCACTCAGTTCACTCCCCGTTTGAGGCGGCTGCTGCAGAGTCCCAGTCACTGTTTTCAGACAACAGTAACTTCAGGCATCCAAACCCACTCCCAAGTGGACTGAGCGGCTTCCCCAGCTCCCCACACAGCAACGCTGACTGGCCTACTGCACCAGAGCCACAGAGCCTCTTCACCTCAGGTAAGCCAGACGCAGGAAGAACCGGCTTGATAGCAGGGTGTTTTGGTTCTTTACAGTCTCAAAGTCTCAGATTGTTTTTAAAAATTGCATCATATAAAAACAGTGTGACAATAAAAATCTTCTTTTAGAGACTTGCTTGCTTTTAAGTGAAACTCCACCCACAATCTTGGAAAAAATGTCATTAAAAGATGAAGAATTAGTGTTTAAACTAAGTTAGTATTTGGCCACAAGCACTAGAGTTCGATTTCTTAAGTAGCACAATGACATTTTTTAACTCTGTAAGCTTGTCAAGCTGATAGTTTGATGACCGTTGGATTTTTACAGGGAGTTTGTGCTATGCTGTGCTGCCAGTCTTGTCATCACCTTGAAGTTGGCAGGCAACCGGCGGAGATGCTGCACAGAAGTGCAAATATAGAAACTGATTTGTCAAGAATTTTTTAAGCATGTAACTTTCTGGCTGGTTAACCAGCGTTTTGCTACCTTTGGCTTTCAGATGTAACTAGCTAGCACATGACTAACATAGATAAGCTATCTACCAAGCTAATTAGCTAGCTAAAGATTGATATTGATTAGCTATTTAGTTAGTTAACTAAGGGTTGCTAATGTTAGCTAGCTAAACTAAGATGTGGCTATATATGTGTTGTTTTTATCTTTTAACCCTCTTCAAAATGTGGTTGTCTTATAGTCTTGTCTTGAAGTACAGGAAAGGAGGAAGTTGACTGATGTTCTGACCGAGGCTTGCTCAACTGTTAACTAACCCTAGAGCAGAGCAAAAATGTCTTAGGAAGGGTCAATCGTCCAGCTGTATGGACAGCAGCCAACCAGTTTACCAAGAAGTACTAATATTAGCACAGTTATTATTCCGAAAGTTGATGAAGGTTACGAATACAATCTATTGTAAATCTACTGGAATAAGTTTACAAGTCATCAAAACAAACTGCAATACTTAGAATTGACTAGAACAAAATATATAATGTTCCAATGTATATATGACTGCTGGATAAATGTTTGGTCCAGCAGACCTACACTACAACAATAGACAGTACTTGAGGAACTGTCTGAATTCAGTGTGCCAGTGATGATGTAGTCAACAGTCAGCGGTTTCTTTGTGAAGCTTGCTCACAGCTCGTCCCCCCTGTGTGTGTCTGTGATTTTGTGTGTGTGTGTGCAGATACCATCCCAGTGTCCTCGTCCACGGACTGGCAGGCAGCTTTTGGCTTCGGCTCGTCCAAACAGCAGCAAGAGGACGACCTGGGCTTCGACCCCTTTGACGTCACTCGCAGGGCTCTGGCTGACCTCATAGAGAACGAGCTCTCTGTAGAAGATGGCGTCAGCTTATCCCTTTCACCTGGCTCCTTCCCCCACAGAACTCATAGGCCCCTGCTAAACAAAGGCCTTGGGCCCCCAGGAGGGTTTCGACTCCTCAACCACCTCCCCCCCTCTCACCACTTTTCTCAGCATCAGCACCCTCACAGGGGAGGCTACAGTTCCTTCAGCTTCCCCACTCACCCTTCATCAGCATTATCTTCATCTTCCTGCTCCTCCACCTCCTCCTCCTCTTCCTCTTCCTCAGCATCTTGTGGGTCCTGGATGGGTTCCACCTCCTCACACAGTAACTTTATGCATTTGAACCACACAGTCAGTCCAACAGCCTCCACCTCACACAGCAGCTTCATGGACTTGCCAGCGCTGCCAAGACATCACAATACTGGACTTGGAGGAATCCCTATCACAGGTAAGACTGGATCAGGGAGACCTTACCTGTACATATATAATTGTGTCTAAATTGCCACTAGATGTCACACTAGAGCACAGCATCTCAGGCCAAAACAATGGGCACTATGGCTAACCAGACTCCACTGAGAAAACCAGTAATTTTACTGAGATGTTATGAGCTGAATTGTAATGTAAAAGAAATGTTAAATCTGAAAAGTATATGAAAGTGGCAGGTAGATTTCAGAGAGAGAAAAATATGTTTTTACTTTTGAGTAGCTGAATCTATTCACATTTTAAAAAGTGAATTTGCCACCCGACTAGGGCTGCACAATGAATCTTAATATTCTGCAGAGATGCCATGGCCTACAAATCTTTTTCTCCACATGTCTGTTTCTTTGGTACAAACCCCAACAAATGTCACATTATCATGATTTTAATTAGCCCTGTAAGGTATGTGGAAAATGTGCAATAACACTGTTTGATATGGCGATGACCATATAACTTGCGATAAATAAACAAATAATCGAGTGCATATTGGCTGTACAGTTCCTATGTCAGCCTGGTTGTCTTTAAATTCATAACTAGCTATTTAATTTTTTTAATAAAACTAGATGTTGTTTCTGGAGCAGCAACAGTAATGTTTACAACAGCCAAGTCACTATAAAAACTCAATAATATTTCACTGGAAACAAATCTAAAGTGTCTAAGGAAATAATATTCCTGACATCAAAATACTGAATGAAGGTTAGAGTATCTGTCATTCATTCTGACTCTGATGTGACTCTGTCTGCAGGTATCATATGCATTCACTTAACCTGACAACATACAGTTTCCATCTGTTTCAGCCTCTCAGCCTGAGGATTTCTAATATAGGAAGATGCACACAAAATGAGTATTTAGTTCTGTCATGTTCAGTCTCCACAGTGACTGTCTCCTTTCTGTAACAGGTAAAGAACTAGGAGCTTGAAGTAACAACTAGTACGTGACATCATTATAGTGCATTGCATTGTGGGTAAACATGTGCTCATTTATTGACCACTTGGTGGCAGCACATAATTTATTGTAGCATCATTGTAACACAGCGGACTGGTTTGGTCATGTACATATTGAGAGAACCACTGGTGCTGTTACTCCCACTATACTGGGTTCACAATATGATTTTATCACCATTTTTCGTAACAAAATGAGATTGAAGACAAAGAAGCCAAAAAGCTGCCATACCTTTAAACAGGAGGGAATTCAAATAAGGAAAGTCAAAAGTAGATAACGCCCTATGCTCTTGAAAATGCTTAATTTTTCATCTCACCGATTTGAATCTTAACATATTTGTATCGCAATTTAACTATATTGTTACATTTCTACTAATGTATGATCACTTTTGACAGTATTGGCTATGGATGCCCCAAGTAAAAAAATTTGGCCTTTAAAGAGAATGCCTTTAGTTTATGAGCAAGTGTTGTCCTGTATTGTATACAGTTGTATTGTATAGGGCGGCTGTGGCTCAGAGGCAGAGCGGGTCGTCCCCCAATCAGAAGGTTGTTGGTTCGAATCCCTGGCTCCTCCTGCCACGTG